ATGAATTTAGATGGAAAATTCGAAGAAAACACGCAAAATTGCCTTATCTTTTGGAGTCATTTTTTACTTAAAGAAGAGGAATGATTCAGCTTTCAGTCTCATTCTCAGTGCTTGACTTTATCGTTTGAAATCGCCAGTCCTCACGATATTATTGACAGGCTTAGATAGGAAGGAAGAAACTGCAGCTTATCTTCACGATTTCGTACCCAAAAGCACCACACACTAAGAATAATTGGGCTGGTAATACAAAGGTGCCGAAAAGCAGTCTTCAGTGTGCTGTCCACATAAACGTTTACTATTAATTTTACGTTACCCGCTGCATAGTCGAGTAGACGTCTGCATGTGCGAGTCATCGCACCAAATCGTTAAGTTACATGTGTATTGTATACATTGTATACATATGACATGAGAGGCTGCAGCTTGATGCGCGCGTTCTTTTCTGTACTTTCGCAAATTGTCGTTGCGTCCGCAAATACGTCCAAGCGTGCGCGTACATAACAGGGCTGTGTACCAGTTGCCATCGCATAGACGGACGAAATCTGGCACTTTGCTATGGGACCTATGCGTAACAAAGTCTACTCAACATAATATGTGATAACATTCAATATAAAATTAAGATTATATTTTGGTGAAGCAGAGGAGAGCATGGTTTCATTGAATGCGCAGCTTTTTCAGTACTTTTCCCGCCCTCGCGACTTCTATCCAGATCACTTCGACATTGATGTCTGCTCCACCCGTAGCTCATACGCGTTCATTCCATGGTCTGCTGGGCCTCGAAACTGCATAGGTATGAGACAATTTCTATGTTATGAACTATGACTTCAACTGAACAAAAAAAAACTGTTTTATTTTGAATGTTATATCTCAAAGTATTTACATCAAGGCCAACGATTTGCTGTACTGGAGGAAAAAGTGTTGCTGGCTCGATTGGTGCGTCAATTTCGATTTCGAGCTGCGATTACTTTTGAGCAAAACCGAGGGCTTACAGAATTCATTTTGAGGCCTAGCGAGGGAATTCCTCTAATAATAGAGAGGCGAAAGGACTGATGCTGTTATAGAAAACAGTTACTGCCTAACATTGTTATTCCTAGTCCACATAATACGCATAACTTTGTATGGTACGAGATTTCTGCTGAGATTCTGTAACTCCAAGAAAAATGGATTGTAGCTTATAATGTACATATTTATTTTAGGATATATATGTATATCCGAATTTGCCATCTGTCATGAATCAACAATAAAATTTATGTGCGATTCCTTCGTCCCACTACACTGCGTTTTATAAGCTATAGTAGTACTTATAGCTCCATGAGTTTTAATGAGAACGAGCTCAACCGTAAAGAGTTTAAGTAGCAAGTAAGTAGTCGTGATACTCTACCAAGATTATTATCAATATTTTTTGTTGAGATTTATATTTCCGTAATCTGCAGGAAAGACAAGTTCATGATAATTCTTTCAAATGTAATAAACTGAGACATCTGAGATATCAACACAAAGTCATCAAAATGCGATGGAACGAAATGAGCCCGACGAGACAATAGCACACAACATTGGCAAAGGTTCATTACATATAGCGACAAAGAAATCACTCTGCGTAGATGTACATGTGTGAATGAAGAGCAAGTCAGCAATTTCGCTTTCTATGTTAAGGATTAGCAATTTGTTTAGAAATTTGCTCATGAAAAGTAAGAGGAATATCTAATCCCATGGGATATACTCGAAAGCGATGTTGGTACCCCTACTGTACGAGAATCAAATTTGAACGGCAGAAAAAAA